TGTGAGAGAGAGAGAGAGAGAGAGAGAAGGAGGTTACACATATTGTGTAGTCCGAGTGTGTGCAGTTGTCTTTGTGGTGACATGGTGTGGTGGAAACTACAAGTCACTTCAACACCTCTGTGCCATGTTGTAGACATGTTTTAACAGACTCTGAGTGTGTGACTGTAAGTGTAACATGCGTGATGACTGACAAGAGTGTGTGTGTTATCAGTCACAGCTCCACAACAGCCCGATGGTGTGTGTGTGTGTGTGTAGGCCTTGGTCGTTGCTGTGTAAACTGTGTTAACACTGTTACCAAGTGAGAAATCTTGGCATTTGCACCGATGTTATGTAAAATGAGGCCATTAAGATTTCGACCCGGAGCTTGAAAAAAAAGTCTAACCATCCAGGAAGTGGCATCACTAATCATTTGCAAATTGCATAAAATAATTTGCCTGGCCAGTGTTTACCAACAGCGAGGTCACGGCCATCCATAACTCCACTGATGAATTGTGATATCAGGGGCCCTGGCACTGCAGCTCCTCTTCCAACCCAAAATAATGACCCTAAAAACTGTGTCTCTGCTGATTGCCAACGAGGGATTGTGGCTTTTGGCTTGTGCCATCAGGAGAACAGCAGTGTCCGCTTGGGTTAATGTCCCTGTATTGATCCCAGCAACCACTGCTATCGAAAATGAATTACCGAAGCCCGCACGGCAGCGAATCCGTCATCTGTGCTCAGCCAGCCGGCCAGAGCAGCTTATTGGTCGCGGTGGTGATGGATGTAAACTTTCATTGCTGGCTGCTTGCTCCTAATTCACCAGGGTTTACAACCCAAAACAAGGCGCTGCGGAAAGTTTTATACTCTCACCAAGAACTTGTAAACTTCATATAAGACCCCCACCCCTATATTTGTCTATTTCTTTCTGTTCGTTTTAATTGGGCTGCAGCACTAAGAGCATGTGTAACTCCACAGATTAAAAACCGCTGGCTCAACATGTTGTGGGGAACTGATCAGCACACTTTCCCCCATTTTTAATCAATGATGTTTTCTTCTTTTTTATGCAGCTTGTTCAAAAGAAAAGCCAAAACAGAATTTGAATACAAAGTAAACTCAGCTATTTAACCCCCCAATCCAAAAAACAAAACAAAAATCCATGCATGCGCCTAGAGCTCAGTTTTAATTTGTATTTTAATGTACTGTTTTGGAATACTTAAATAAGCATATCCTATGGCAAATACAATATGAAATATTAACTGTGTCGATATCTGCGGTGTGACTGAGGCGATGCCGCAGAGAGACGGTGATTTATTTCATTTTAATCGCCCAGGAGCGGGCGAGGGGGTGGCCTCGGCACTACGTTGGCATCGACTTTACGCACGCACGCAGACACACTCACACACAGTATAAAATACTTTTTCCATAAATAATCATTTGTAGTATTTTATATATAGGACTCATGGTGGTACAGTTTGTCCTTTAGAGTGAGCACAGAATGGACCCCTCTCTCTATCTCTCTCCCTCTCTCACCACTCAAGTCTTTTATGAGGCGCAGAGCATTTAGTTTTTATCTTTAAGCACTGCTGTCGTTTACTGATCAAATAATCAATACTGAACCCGGAGCTGAGCTCAATGCATTTCTGAAGGATCAATAGTGCCAAAAAAAATCTAAATGCATTCTTCTAAAATGGTTTAAGTTCTCTCTCTCTCTCAGAGAGCGTGTGTGTGTGTGTGTGTGTGTGTGTGTGTGTGTGTGTGTGTGTGTGTGTGTGTGTCCTGTCTCAGCAGTTTCATTACAGGAAATGACCACAGAGCACTCTGCTTTAAAAGTGTAACCTGCAGCTTTTCATTTGGCTTAGTGCTGAACACAGACACATGGCATTTAATTTAGATTTTTCTCTGTTCTACCACATGTTTACATTATTATGATTAATAATATACAATAATAGATAAGGGATTTATTATCGTTAGAAATATTCCTTTTTAAAAAGTAACAGGCTAATAAAAATGTTTTTATCCTTCTTCATTTTAAATATGAACTATTACAATGCAGCAAGAGCCCCAAATTATTTTTTCACTTCCCTCATAACGTTTTCATTTTATTTGATTTTGATCAGACAATATTATATGAATTAAACCTCGATGAGACACGTGGGCTCTGTTTCTCTTTGGCCAGGTCTCCCTCACTCTTGTCTATTTCCTGAGAACGACTCGATAGAGACAGACTAATCTTTTCATGACTTCTTGAATGACTCCGTGGCTGATGCATCACGCTTAATGTATTCTAAAGTATATTTACTTGAATCTGGCTATTGGCAAAAGTTAAGTAGCAGTGTTTAGTAATGTCGCATTGATCAGGCCTCTGAGCAAGTCAGCGGGACGGACACACACACACACACACACACACACACACACACACACACACACACACACACACACACTGATGTGGCCTTGTTGGAAGATATATACTCCAACATCTATACCTTGTTTGCCTATGGCTCTACTTTAAGTAACCTTGTGTGTGTGTGTGTGTGTGTGTGTGTGTGTGTGTGTGTGTGTGTGTGTGTGCGTGCGCGCGCGTGTGAGATTACAAATTTTAACTTAATTCTATTTGACAAATTTGACAATTTTTGAAAGAATTATTTGATTTGACTTTGCTCTGTAAGGCCATTTGTTTTTCTCTCTCTCCTCTTTTAGCAGTCAAGTTAATTCTTCTTTTTTTAAGACCTTTAACTTCTCGCTTTGCCTTCCAACATATTCTACAAAGTTGCAATGGGCTACAGGCCAACTCAATAACCCCCTGTCTTTTGAATGTCACGCGTTTGTCCTTAAATCTTTCAACTGTTAGAACGCACAGAGATCTGCAGCCCAAATCTGAGAAAAGGCCTAAAATGGTTCAAGTGTTTGCAAAGCGTTTGGCCGCAGTTTGTTGAGGAATTAGTGTGTTTCCATAGATTACTATTTTGGCACATTTGCATTTGAAAGCACCCGGCAATAGAGGACCGCGGTGATCAATAGCCCTGGTTGCCTTATCGATCTATCCGCAGTCTGATCGATTGGC